GTGACATGCAGCGTCTAGACCTCCCCTAGCGCGGTGTCCAGGTTGCTGACTGTCACAGCAGTGCATGTCAGTGTCCCCAGACACCTGCAGTGCCCAGACTCCCCCTCCCCGGGTGGGCTGGTGCCCTGGCTGTGCCTGCATGGTGCAGTAATGCCTGGCAAGGCAAAGTGCTGCTGGGGGGGCTGGGCTGCGATGGCCGGTGTTTGACGTGTCCCCAGTGTTTGCAGTGGGGCGCGTGGTGCCAGGACATGCCCTGCGGCCATAGAGGCTGCCGTGGGCTCTGCTTTGAAGCAAAAAGCAGCCGGTGAGAAAGGCTGATTGATGGCTCTCGGTGCTCCCTGGCAGGGCAAAGCGACGGGCTGTGCCAGAAGCTCACCTACCCCTGCTGTGTGCCCAAACCGCAGAAGCCCTGGGAGAAAGATGCCTGGGAGATCCCTCGGGAGTCGCTGAGGCTGGAGAGGAAACTGGGAGCCGGGCAGTTTGGAGAAGTGTGGATGGGTGAGAGCAAGGGGGAGGCAGCTGGGAGGAAGATGGAGGTGATGGTGGAGGAGGAAGGGTAAGGGATGGGAGAGGAGATGGAGGGATGGAGGGGTGGAAGAGGCAGGGAGGGAGTGACCTGCAGGAGAGGAGCATGGGGAAGCGAAGGTGGCCCTGGGCTTAATGCAGGGACTGCTCTGGGTGGGTGCATGGGGACAGCCCTGGGCTGCACAGGGTCTCCAGCCATTGTGCACCAGCTCCATCTGTAGGAGTGGGTGCTTTGGCTCCAAATCCAGTGCTCCCAGTGCCTGGGCACTGGTCAGGCTGTGAAGGGTCTGTCATGGCACCCTGCAGCTACCTATAACAAGCACACCAAGGTGGCGGTGAAGACAATGAAGCCGGGCAGCATGTCCGTGGATGCCTTCCTGGAGGAGGCGAACCTGATGAAGACGCTGCAGCATGACAAGCTGGTGAAGCTGCACGCGGTCGTCACCAAGGAGGAGCCCATCTACATCATCACCGAGTTCATGGAGAAAGGTGCTGCCTGTGCCCCAGGCGGTGATACCTGGGTGCCCCAGGGATGGTGCAGGATCAGCTCCTCCTGCATCCCCAGGGTTGGCCGTGGGCTCTGGACCAGCTGCTGGGGCACTGGGAGTGGGGCTGGCTCCT